CCCTGGGACGTTCCAAAGGCAGGAGAGATGGTTGCAAAGCTGGTGAGAAAGAGGCACGGGACACATCTTTGCAGGCAAGTGCTGGACTCCAACTCCCATCATCCACAGCTAGACATTTGGATCAGACTTGAAACAGGATTGAATTGACCTTTGGATAGAGTCAGGTGGTGAATGCAAACCTCTCCCTTGCAAAGCCTGCTTTTCACGTATGCGCACAGCCATTCGTTGGAATTGCATCCACGCTTTAATGACCTGCATGCCAATGCTGGGATTATATTGCTACTCGTCGCTCCCCGAAACTGTTTCAAGGCAAAATGATGCCAAGAGCCCTTTGGGCTAAAGAGCACCAAAGCTTTAAATGAGTGCGTTTTAAGCTCCGTGAAATATATGTGTATATATTTGAGCCATTATTATTTTATTCCCAAGGCAACCTCATTGGATGGGTCATAGATCCACTCTGGCCCATGGACCACGTGAGTTGCATTGCCCTAACCAGGCATGGGCACAACTTTCTAACTTGGGAACCGCATGTGAGTACTCCCCTACTAGGACGACTGGCTACCTGGTGCTGGAAGGAAGGAAGGAAGTAAGGAAGGGAAGGAAGGATGGACAAAAGGAAGGGAAAGATGGAAGGAGAAAGAGGCAGAGAGGGAAGGAGGAAGGAAAGAGAAAAGGAAGGAAGGACAAAACAGAGGAAGGGAAGAAAGGAAGGAAAGGTGGAAGGGAAGGATGGAAAGAAAGAGGGAAGGAAAGACAAAGGGAGGAAGAGAAGGAAGGATGGAAGGGATAAAGGAAAGAGAGAAGGAAGACTAAAGGGGAGGAAGGGGAAAGAGGGAGAGAGAGGAAAGCGAAGGAAGGACAGGAAGGGAAGGGAAGGAAAAGGGAAGGAGAAGGAAGGGGAGGGAGGGAGAAGGAAGAGGAGAGAAGAAGGAAAGATAAAAGGGAGGTACGGATGAAAGGGTGGAAGGGATGGAAGGAAGGAAGGAAGGACGGACGGACGGAAGGAAGGAAGGAAGGACAAAAGGGAATGAAGAAAATAGAGAGGGAGAGAGAGAAGGAGGGAGGAAAGAGGGAAGGAAAGAAGGACAAAAAGGCGAAGGATAGAAGGAAGAAAAGGTGGAAGGGAATTGATGGAGGGAAGGAAGGAAGCGAGGTAGGGAGAAAGAGAGAAGGAATGAAAGACAAAAGGGAAGAAAGAAAAGGAAGGAGGGAGAGAGAGAAGGAAGGATGAAAGGGTGGAAGGGAAGGAAGGAGGGAGAAAGAGGTAGGTAAGGAATGGATTGAGGGAGGGAGAGAGGGAAGAAGAAAAGAGAGAAAGGAAGGAAGGATGAAAGGGTGGAATGGAAGGAGAAAGAGGGAGGGAAGGAGGAAGAAAAGAGAGAAGGAAGGAAGGATAGGATGGTGAGTGAGAGGAGGGCCTGGGTCTACCCATGCTTGCTCTTGGGGATAATGTAGAGACTGTGCCATCCCTACTTACCGAGCAGTGGCCACAGCGATCGATGTAAGGTCTATTCCCTTGTCAACTGGGAAGCCAAAGACTGACGTTGCACCTCCCTTTCCATGAACGATCTCCGGCATGAGGGAGAATTGCGACAGGGACCCCACGCCTGCCTCTTGCAAGGAAGATTGCTCACAAGAGAAGGCCGGGATGTCAGTCAGCTGCTTCCCAAGCGACAAGGGAATGGACTCATATCGATTGGAGCAGCTGCTGCCCGGTAAATGGGGATCGGGAGGATCGGGTTGGGACTCACTGCATAGCAACACAGCTCCGGCGGTGAGGCATTCGTAACTGCAAACGTGAATTCCTGCCCCTCGGTTTTGTGAAAATGGGGGCGTTTATAGGGTCGAAGAGTGGGCAGGTTGAAGAGGGAGACGCTCGGCTGCCGATCAGCAGCTTTCTTTTTTGTCCCTGCCAACGCCTGATGTAGCACAATGAAGGCTGTGGCAACGTCACGCTTTGTATGTCCAGACCCAGCAGACAGTCAAGGCTGCAAGGCGAGGAAATGAATGCGCGGCACAATGGTGCCAAGCTTTGGATTCAATGGTGTCCGGGAAAGAGAGAGAGAGAGAGAGAGAGAGAGAGAAAGGCAAGGAAGGGCCATGGTTCATCTTTAATGTCTCAACTAGGGTTCCTCGGAGACCCCTATCCTTGTGCCTCTAAATGTGGGGAGGTCTCATTCAAAAGGAATGGCCTAGAGAATGTGCAGAGTGTAATACCTCCACATTTTGCAATATCCAACCTGCCGATTTTGGGATTGATGGGAACATGTTGAGGCCACGTGCATCCTCTACGAGCCTATGAGCAAGAGGCATGCCCCTGCCCTGTAGTTATCTATCCACATTCTTCCTCCAAGTCTCCAACCTCTTTAGCCTCTGGTGCCAACAAATGACACAAAGGTTGTCCTGTTGCTATTCCTGCCCTGCATCTACACAGGATGGACATCTGAAATCTGTCCACTTCCTTCTGAATGACACAGAAAAGAATGACCAAGATGACAGAGGAATGAATGAGGGAGATAGGGATGTTTAGCTAGGAGAAGAGATGACTGAGGTGACATGATCTTTAAATATCTAAAGCAGTGGCTCCCAACCTGTGGTCAGTGGACCACCAGTGGTCCGCAAGAACAAAAATATGGTCCGTGGTCTCACCGTTGCTTTGAAACCACATGGCAATGAGAACGACTGGTCTCGTGAAATCCTCTGATAGGACCGAGGCAACTAGGATGTCGGGAGGGGAGAGACTGATTCCCCAACACTACCACATCAGCTCTAGATTATTAAATATGGTTGTCTGTGGGCGAGCAGATGGTGACTATTGGATGGCATATGTTCTGGATCAGAAACTAGAGCTGATGTGGTCTAGCCAGTACAATTTTCTGAATCAGCACCCCAATAACCAAAGCGAATCTAAAGTTCAAAGTGGTCCCTGGTCCCTGGTCAAACTGGTCCCTGGTCAAGGTGGTCCCTGGTCAAAGTGGTCCCTGGCCAAAAAAGTCTGGAAACCACTGATCTAAAGGAAGGTCACGGAGAAAGCAGACCAAGCTTGCTTTCTGCTGCGCAACAGAACACAAACCAATGGGCTCTACCTAGATATCAGGAAGAACTACTTGACTACAAGAGCTGTTGAAGGTTGTCGGACTCTCCTTTGGGGGCCTTCAGATGTGGGTCGTGAAGGGGCTATGGTGGCAAAACAGTTTTTTTTAATCGTGTAAGAAGCGACTTGAGAACAATCAAATTGGGTCAAACTTTCCACACAGAACCCTCACGACAAAGAAAATACTGTGTTTTCTGATGGATTTTAGCGACCCCTCTGACACCAGTCTTTTGTGACCCCACCCAAGATTGAGAAACACTGCTCTAAGTGATGGAAAGTGAGTGTGCAGACAGCTATGCATGAGGTCAGCTGTGACCAGCAGTGCTGTGGTGTTTGGAGACTCCCAGGTTGAGAAACGCTGCTCTATGTGGTGGAAAGTGAGTGTGTAGACAGCTATGTATGAGGTCAGTTGTGACCAGCAGTGCTGTGGTTTGGCGACTCCCAGGTTGAGAAACGCTGCTCTGTGTGATGGAAAGTGAGTGTTTGGCGACTCCCAGGTTGAGAAACACCCTTTACCTTAGGTGGCCTTTGTGGTTTCTTCCAAACCTAAGCTTGTGGTGGAAAGTGAGCATGGAAGCAAAGAGCGAAGGAAAGAACTAGAGAAGGAATAAAGGAGAGAAAGAGAAAGGAAACAAAAAAGGGTGAAGGAAAGAAAGAGGTAGAGAAGGAAGGAAAGAGAGAAAGACAGAAAAAAGGAAAGGAAGGAAAAAGGGAGTGAAGGAAGTAAGTAAGGAAAGAAGTAGAAAAAGAGGGAGGGAAGGAAAGAAGGAAAGAGAGAAGGAAGGAAGCAAAAAGCAAAGGAAGGAAAGAGGTAGAGAAGGAAGAAAGGAGAGAAAGAGGTAGGAAAAGAAAAAGAGGAAGGAAAGAAAGAAAGAGGTAGAGAAGGAAGGAAGGAGAGAAGGACAGAAAAAAGGAAAGGAAAAAGGGAGTGAAGGAAGGAAGAAAAGAAGCAGAAAAAGAGGGAGGGAAGAAAAGAAGGAAAGAGAGAAGGAAGGAAGCGAAAAGCAAAGGAAGGAAAGAGGTAGAGAAGGAAGAAAGGAGAGAAAGAGGAAGGAAAAGAAAAAGGAGGAAGGAAAGAAAGAGGTAGAGAAGGAAGGAGAGAAAGACAGAAAAAGAGGGAGGGAAGGAAAGAAGGAAAGAGAGAAGGAAGGAAGCGACAAGCAAAGGAAGGAAAGAGGTAGAGAAGGAAGAAAGGAGAGAAAGAGGAAGGAAAAGAAAAAGGGGAAGGAAAGAAAGAGGTAGAGAAGGAAGGAAGGAGAGAAGGACAGAAAAAAGGAAAGGAAGGAAAAATGGAGTAAAGGAAGGAAAGAAGGAAAGAGAGAAGGAAGGAAGCAAAAAGCAAAGGAAGAAAAAAGGTAGAGAAGGAAGAAAGGAGAGAAAGGGGAAGGAAAAGAAAAAGGAGGAAGGAAAGAAAGAGGTAGAGAAGGAAGGAGAGAAGGACAGAAAAAAAGGAAAGAAAGAGGGAGCGATGGAAGGAGGGAAAGAAGGAGAGAAAGAGAGAGGGAAGGTTGGCCACAGCAACACGTGGCAGATACAGCTAGTAAATAAAATAAACAAATTCCACTTGGAAACTGATCTCCTTGCTGTGGAAGAACATGCGGGTCAAGACATGCTCCACAGTCACCTACGTATCCACCGCCAAACACTACACTTGGAAGACCATCCTACTGGGACAACAGCCAATCGTCTAAGTAGGGAAGATATGTCACCAGCTTTGAAACATCAACCTGCGCAGAGAATAAACCACAAAGCGTATCTTTGGAAAGAGAAAAGAAAGGAAAATGGGGAGAACAAAGGTCATGGGGGCGAGAAGCAGGACGGGGAGGACTGCACCTTTAAACCTTTGCTTGTTTGTTATTTTACTTGCTCATTAATTATTAACCGGAATTAATTATTGGTTAATTACCTTTGTCGAGTAGCCACTCATCTACTACTCGACCGAGCCGATACGGAATTCTCTGTCTAGCAATCGCCAGTCGCTCATTATCACTGTTCCCTTCAAAGAGTTTAGAGAGAGATTTGCAGATGGTTAAGAAGGAAAAGAACACAAAAATAAAAATAGAGAGAGAGACATATACGCCATCTGGAACGTCAAAGGTCAGAGGTTAGCATGTTTAGAGAGGTCAGGTAACATTGCAGTTTAAGCGCCCGATTGAAATTAGCGGTTAGGTTTCCGTTAGTTTTGGAATTTTTTGTTTTGGTTTTGTTTTGGTTTTGATGGGGAAGGGGGTTCAGTTTGGGATTTGGTTTGGGGTTTAGCGGTTTTAGCCAGCAATGGATCAAGCACTAGTTATACGGTTTAGTCAGGTTTAGGTGTTAGGATGAGGAGATGAAGGTTAGACGGATTTATGCAGCATCGGAGAGGTGGAAAAGCTCTCAAATGCATTAGTTTAAGGAGTTAAATGCACTTTATTAGCAGACTTTAGCGTCCCTAGTCACAAAAACGGTGGGAAAAGGCAACATCGCACTGTCAAACTCTCGTCAAAGGCTTCCTTTCCCAAAATACTCGGTTGTCGGTCCGTTTTCGGACGTCTTCGATCCCACGTTCCTTCCCCAAACCCAACCGGCACATCCTTCAAATCATCCACCTTCCCCTCCCTGGCTCCCACAAAAGCAATTCCCACCATTGTCCTGCATTTGTATCTGAAAACTGGCAAAGAAAAGTTGTGAGATATTAGACAGGCAGAATAATTGGGGCCAATCGCAGCTCTTGTCGATCAGAGAGCGACTGGTAACAGATAATGCCACATTTCATATGCCGGAGAAGAAGACACAGCCCTGTGTGCCTGAGATCTTGAAGCCATCACTCTCCTTCTGGGGAAATTTTTGAATAAGGAGTTGGAATCACACACAATGTACCCGCATTTCCTAAACATGGATAATTCAAGCAACAAAAGCAAAATGTTTTCACCTTTTGGACTCCGTTTGCAGCTACAGAAGAGTCTCGCTTATCCGACATAAACAGTCCGGCAGAATGTCGGGTAATAATAATATAATAATAATAATCCTAGACACTTGGGATGTGTTCGACGTGTGAGCCAATACAACAGCCAGTGGAGTGACCTTGTCTGCTGTGTACTCATCTTGTTGTGTTTCTAATAATAATAATAATAATAATAATAATAATAATAATAATAATAATAAATACTGGCATAAACCAGTACAGGTGGTCCCAGTGGTCATTGGCGCACTGGGTGCCGTGCAAAAATATCTCAGCCGGCATTTGGAAACAATAAACATTGACAAAATCACGATCTGTCAACTGCAAAAGGCCAGCTTACTTGGATCTGCGCACATCTTTCGAAAATACATCACACAGTTCTAGACGATTGGGAAGTGTTCAATTTGTGATTTTGTGATACGAAATCCAGCATAGAGATCTCGTTTGCTGTGACATACTGTGCTTTTGTGCCAATAATAATAATAATAATAATAATAATAATAATAATAATAATAATAATCCTAGACACTTGGGAAGTGTCCGATGTGTGATCCAATACAACAGCCAGCAGAGTGATCTTCTCTGCTGTGGACTCATCTTGTTGTGTTTCTAACAACAACAACAACAACAATAATTGCAAAGACTTTAGCACAAGCCAGTCAAGATCCCAGTGGTGATCGCCACACTGGGTGCAGTGCCTAAAGACCTTGGCCTGCACTTGAACACAATCGCCGCTGACACGATTACCACCTGCCAGCTGCAAAAGGCCAACCTGTTTGGATCTGGACGCATTATTTGCCAACACATCACATAGTCCTAGACACTTGGGAAGTGTCCGACCCAATACAGCAACCAGCAGAGTGACCTTGTTTGCTGTGGACTCATCTTGTTGTGTTTCAAATAATAATAATAATAATAATAATAATAATAATAATAATAATAATAATAAAGCATTTGACTCCCTTCCACATTATTGGATCATCAAGTGTCTAGATGTCATCGGGGTTTGTGAAAATATTAGAACAAGCCAGTCAAGGTGGTCCCAGTGGTGATCAGCACACTGGGTGCAGTGCCTAAAGACCTTGGCCTGCACTTTAACAAAATTACCACCTGTCAGCTGCAGAAGGCCACCTTACTGGGATCTGCACACATTATTTGCCGATACATCACATAGTCCTAGACACTTGGGAAGTGTCCGACCCAATACAACAGCCAGCAGAGTGACCTTGTTTGCTGTGGACTCATCTTGTGTTTTGAATAACAACAACAACAACAACAACAACAACAGGATAATAATACCAATAACAGCAATAATGTTGGATAACAACAACAACAACAACAAAGGAGATGGAGGGCCTGATTCCGTCAGCCCAAGAAAAGGCAATAAGAACCAATGCCATCAAAGCCAGAATTGAAAAGTCGACGACAGATCCCAAGTGTAGACTCTGCAAGGAAGTAGATGAAACGATAGACAGACTCCAAGCAGAGGCACAACACCGTTGCTCTGATTCATTGGAACTTGTGCCACAAATACTATCTGCCTGCGACAAAGAACTGGTGGGATCACAAAGTTGGAAAAAGTTACAGGGAATGAGCATGCCAAACTCCTCTGGGACTTCCGAATTCAGACAGACAGAGTTTTGGAGCACAACACTCCTGACCTCACAATCGTGTTAAAAAACAAAGTATGGAATGTCGATGTTGCAATCCCAGGTGACAGCAGGATTGCAGAGAAACAACTCGAAAAGCTGACATGACATGAGGATTTAAAAATCGAACTGCAAAGACTCTGGCACAAGCCAGTCAAGGTGGTCCCAGTGGTGATTGGCACACTGGGTGCAGTGCCTCAAGACCTTGGCCTGCACTTAAACACAATTGGCGCTGACACAATTATCATCTGTCGGCTGCAGAAGGCCACCTTACTGGGATCTGCATGCATTATTCACCAATACATCACACAGTCCTACACGCTTGGGAAGTGTGCGATGTTGTGATCCAATACAAAGGCCAGCAGAGTGATTTTGTCTGCTGTGGACTCATCTTGTTGTGTTTCAAATAATAATAACAAGAGCAAAGCAGTTGAAGAAGAAAAACATGGCCTGGCAGAATATGCCAAGAACCTGCTTAAATGAAGTCAATAATTGGAAACTTCTCAAAGCACAGCAGACAAAGAGTCAGTACAAGAAAACTGCACTCCCAACCAGAGATGACAGCTGGCATAACAAAGCATTGCACGGGCAGTTCCTTGACAAAATTGAAGGAAAAGCTGACAAGGAGAAGACCTGGTTACGGCTCATGCTGTCAGCCCCAGCTTCTGCCAACCTAGCAGTTCAAAAACATGCAAATGTGAGTAGATCAATAGGTACTGCTCGGGTGGGAAAGTAAGGGCGCTCCATGCAGTAATGCCGGCCACATGACCTTGGAGGTGTCTGGCACAACAAAGCATGGCACAACAAAGCATTGCACGGGCAGTTCTTTGACAAAATTGAAGGAAAAGCTGACAAGGAGAAGACCTGGTTATGGCTCACGCTGTCAGCCCCAGCTTCTGCCAACCTAGCAGTTCAAAAACATGCAAATGTGAGTAGATCAATAGTTACTGCTCCGGCTGGAAGGTGTCTACGGACAATACCTGCTCTTTGTCTTAGAAATGGAGGTGAGCACCAACTCCCAGAGTCGGACACAACTGGACTTAATGTCAGGGGAAGACCTTTACCTTACCTTTACATAAGCAGCAACTCTCAGAAAACAGGGGAATTCCAGACAGGAAACAACCAAGGCCAGCTAACACGTTCCAAAAAAGGATTTCTCCAGGCAGGAAGCAGCCAGGCTTTGAATCTGCAAGGCTTTGCCATGATTAATTACAACATTCCCACTTGCCTCCAACAGACAAGAGTTCTTTCTCCCACTCTGGACATTATTCCACAGGTATATAAACCCCACTTGCCTAGTTTCCAACAGACCTCACAACCTCTGAAGATGCCTGCCATACATGGGGTGAAATGTCAGGAGAATTTTTTTCTGGAACATGGCCAAACAGCTTGGAAAAGAACCAATCAGGGTGAGCTAACACCTCCCAACAAAGGATTCCCCCAGGCAGGAAGCAGCCAGGCTTTGAAGCTGCGAGGCTTTGCAATGCTAATCAGGGTGATTTATTACAACATTCCCACTTGCCTCCAACATACAAGAGTTCTTTCTCCCACACACTGGACATTATTCCACAGGTATAGAAACCCCACTTGCCTAGTTTCCAACAGACCTCACAACATCTGAGGACTCCTGCCATAGATATTTGTGAAACATCAGCTGAGCCTAGTGATTGTCTGCTGAAGCAAGGAGAGTCTGAGCATGTGCAGAGTGCCTGCGTGACCACCAAGGTTCGGATTTGTGTATGTGCTGCAAGTGAGGCCGGCGCCTCTCTCTGAAACCAAGCACATTTGCATCAGCCTGCAGATTGTCTCTGCGCAAAGACGGAACGGACCAGAAGGCAACCTTTTGCTGGGTGGAAATTAATTAGCTACCAGCGCGTATGGTCAACGGATCGGAGCAGCCAAGGCAAGGCAGGGGGTGGTTGTCACGTGAAGGAAACAGGCAGCCCTGGCTCGAGAGGGACGGGCGAAGGGTTCTGCCCCACTGTCCTTGGGAAAAAGGGCAAATCAAAATCTCGACGTCCCCAGAAGTGTTTTGGAATAGCCGAGCCAAGGAACGGGAGCATCTAGTTGAACGTGACGCCCTGCTGCATCCCAAGTGCCATATTGGCTTGCAGGTCTGGACTTGCCACTTCCAACTAGAGAGTAATCATGTGCATTCGAGCCAAAAACACGTCCCGTTTTTGGGTCCGTTTCCGTCTCACCCCTCATTTCGTTTACCAGAAAGTTAACCGAAAGGGGAGGAGTGTTTTCCGTTTCATTTAGCAGGTATCTGGCCCATTGATTAGAACGGAAAACTTTAAAGGCTCAATCCTCAGCCATTTTAAGGCCTATCTCCCTGAAACCTACTTCGGTCGTAGACCACATTGCCAACTGCAAGCATGCCAAGTTTCAAAACTATTCACTAAT